GGGAAAAAGATAACTGAAAAGAATACTAACAGGTGAAACGCTCTGGTATCATCAATGCGAATCCACAGACAACTTGGCCTATGAATGACTAGCGTAGTTTGCATGAGTTTCACACCTTGGACGCACGTTAGCAACGCAAATGCAGATGTAAAACGCATCTAATAGAATGGAATATTTAAGTTGATGAAGCTAGGTGTTGGGTGCATTGGCCGTCAAACTTGAGGATTTACACTCCCCACCCTGGACGTCGTAATTCCAGTTACATCAGGGGAAGAATTGAGAGCCAGTATTAGAAAATAACAGTATCCACGTAACCTCCTGTATGTCAAGTATAACATGGATTGGACTCGTGGATCTCTAACCGGAAATCAGGCAATTGATCTTCTTCGATTTACACAACTGTGCTGTTCGCCTATCAACATGGATCACCAGATCCGCCAAAAGACGAGTTTATGTCGGTACTCAAATAACACCTAAATAGCTGAGCCAATAAGGTTGTTAGAACTAGGATGGTCACCAAGATGGTCAAGGGATTGCATTACCTGACATATGAGGAGAGATTACGACCATTGGGACTGTATTCTTCATAGTACCGCTGAACTCGGGGAGACTTGATTTTGACGTATCAAGTACCGCAGAACCCAAACCATCCGTGTAAATCGCTTTTCATGTTATCGAACAATGTTCACCTAAGGGGACACCGGTTCAAGCTACTGATTCCAAAATGTCGACTGGAATGCCGGCGCCAGTCTTTTGCAGTCAGAGTAGGCAGTTCTTGGAACGCCCTTCCATCTCACGTCATTTGTGCACCCACTATTCAATCTTTCAAGCAGAGGCTCGATGAAACCTTGGCACACCTCACATTCGAACACCACTAAAAGCAAATGCAAATTCACTAAAGCTTACGTTCTCTATTATCTCCAACCCGGAACTCTATGTAACTTCTTTTTTCGGCATGTAACGATTCATCTGTGTAAATATCTTATGGGGACCAGAGAAGCACGAGCTTGTAAGTTATTCCCATAACAAAACTTTGACTTTGAACTAGTTTTTACTTCAGATTAATCACATCATACTAATCAGATTGTGAACAACATACACAATGGTGACTATATCTGTATTGCGACTGTGAACTCCATATAGCCACAAACGTTTTGGGAAATGAGACACCTGAAACTTCCCGTCGCAACTAACGAGGCCAAAGACCAAATCAGCACGACACCTGTTTCTAAACAACACAACATGTCACTGACAGAATATAAAGAGACAGAATTTCTTTTCAACGGGAATAAATGAATCCCTTCAAAAAAGGGTCGTCGTATACCTGTCGAAGGATTGTGTGATGCAGATGATTGTTCGATGTGATGAATGACATGATAAGCACAATGTACAAAAGAGAATTGTGTTCAAGCCTCCCGGGGATCAGACGAGTTCCAGTTCATCGCCAGCATGATTGGATTGGTTAATGGGTTCTATTGAAGTATTAAGAGTGCGTGTGGTGAAGAAGCACGATGATAGAGAGAACACACGAAAGACAGAGGGATTAAGTGACTCGATTCCGCGCATCACAACTGTTGCAGTAGATCAGTAAATTTGTACCGATTAGATAGGTGTGTTGCATATAAATAACGCTGTTACAGAATAGCCAGAAGGCTAGTAAAATTTACAAGGCAAGGTCAATTGAGCCTACCAATATGACCATGCACTGCCCCAATATGAGGGTACAGGAATGGAGAACACAAGCAGATTCTTGGATCACGACATACTTTGAGTGCATGGATTCGCCAGTGAGTGGACACAGTAAAAACTCATTGTACAATGACTGTAATGAAGTCTAACTGGCTGAATTGATGTGACCAAACCGAGACTGATTAGCAGTTAGTTGGAGGTAAATCTGGCCAAACATGTTCCGTATCAGTGTCTCCTGTTAACATGGTGGGGGAAATGGGTTCCTGTTCAGAAGAGGTCGATGGATCAGCGGTCGCACGCTGCAAACGAGGCAAGGGAACACTAGGCACTGTAACCACACCAGCCGGAGAACCCGGTACAGGTGAATGACGACTCACTGCGACCAATGCGTCTCCGNTGTAAGAACCCTGGGATATGAGGTGCCGAATGTCTGCTTGAAATAGGCGTTCGCGTCTGAAATTGTCAGGTAGTTTAAATGAATCAACAACGGTGGCAGGGGTCTCAAGATAACGCCTTCTGAGTTGTCGGGATACAGAAGGACAAACTGAGAGAGACAAATCATCATCTCCAACCTCTTGCTGCAATACCAGCGAGTCTGCCCAGTACTGCCGAAATCGGGGAGACTTGATTTTGACCTATCAAATACTGTAGAACCCAAACCATCCGTGTCGATCGCTTCTCATGTT